AAGTAGGATGTGAGGACTTCTGCATGCCATCCGGCGACGAGCCGCAGACCTCCACGAATATCTGCTCCAGGCCATCGAGCGTCGGGTCAGCAGCGGCAGCGGCGCGCAGGCGGACGCGCAGGCAGGCGCGCCGGCGGGCGTGTGTTGCCGGTCTGGCCTCTGCTGCCGCCAGCTGGGCTCCTGCGCTGTCCGTCTCAGCCTGGTGGGCCCCGAGGTCGGTCTGCGGAGCCGTAGCGGCCCTCGAGTTGATTCAAGCCAAGTCCATCCGAGGCGACGGGGAGGCCTTTTGGTCCTCGTTGGCACTCCTCCGGTTCCCGTAGCGGCCCTTGTCGCTGTAGCTCTGCTGGTGCCCGAACGAGCGCTTCTGGTCACCGTAGGCGTATCTCTGACCCTCGTTGGAGGACTTCTGGCCCTCGTCGGAGGACTTCTGGTCCTCGTATGGGGTCTGCTGGTCCTCGTAGGAGCGCGTCTGGTTCCCGTCGTAGCGCCGGTGGTCCTCGTATGAGCGCTGCTGGTCCTCGTAGGGGCGCCGCCGGTCCTCGCAGGAGCGCTTCTTGTTTCCGCCGTAGCGTGCACGGTCCTCGTAGGAGTGCTGCTGGTCCTCGTAGGGGCGCTTGGTCATTGTGGGAGCTCATCTGGTGCCCGTTGTAGCACTACTAGGCCTCGTAGGAGCGCTGCTGGTCCTCGTGAAGGCGGTGCTGGCCCCCCGTTCACCTCTTCTTCTTACTCCTCCTCCTCCTTCTCCTCCTCCTCCTCCTTCTCCTCCTCCCCCGCCCTTCCTCCTCCTACTCCTCCTCCTCCTCCTCCTCCTCCTCCTCCTCCTCCTCCTTGTCCTCCTCCTCCTGCTCCTCGTTGCCTTCCTTATGTTCCTTCTTCCTCTCCCTCCTCCTCCTCCTCTCCCTCCTCCTCTCCCTCCTCCTCCTCCTCCTCCTCCTTGTCCTCCTCCTCCTCCTGCTTCTGCTCCTCCCTCCCTACCCTCGCTCCTGCGCGCCCCGAGCTCCGAGGTTCTCCCGTGACGCCTCGGACTCGGTGAGGCTTGGCCCCTTCGGGCCCGCCGACCAGACGTTCTGGGAGGTGATCGACGCCGACATGCCGGTGCTGGCGACCGCGAAGTTCAACGCGGTCATCCTGGGCCGCGGTTCGAAGAAGCCCGGCTGCTCTGGCGCTGCCAGGGGCTCCGCCCTGGTCCGAGGCAGAGCCCCAGCGTTGCACCGAGGGAGGTGCGGGCGGCCTCCCGGGCACCCCCTCGCGGGCCCCAGAGGGCCCCAACCTGCGCGAGGAGCTGGGGACGTCTTTTTGGGCCAGGGCCATTTTTTTGGTTCTGGCAACACCCCTGCCCCCCCCCCCCCGGGCTCGCCGCCGAAAGGAAGCACCTGTTCCAGAGAAGGCCACCTCGGGCTCCGACCCGTCTGCCCCACGATGAAAAATCCCGTGCCTCGCCCCTCGTCCGCCAGGAGCCCAGGGCGCCCAGGAGTCAAGAGCGAGCTGGGGGCGGTTGCCCCTGGGCCCCCCTCCCGCCCCCCCCAATGGACTTCCAGAATCCAGGCCTCCCAATTGGGTGCATCGGCGACTTGGCTCGATGTGATTGCGAAGGCCTGACGGCCGGTGCCGCCGACCCTGTTCGCAATGCGCAGCAAGAGGCACGGGCTGTGGGATGGTTTGGGGGAACGGGGAGAAGGACGAGAAGGTGGGGGAGGGAGGTGTCGTATCTGACCCGGGACTTCCCCGGGACTCCCCCGGGACCCCCCCCGGGACCTCCTCTCCCCCCCCCGTCGGGGAAGGGAAAGGGAAGGGGCTTCCCTTCGACTCAATGACGACGTTGCTCAAGGTCGGTACGGGGGGGGGGCGTCGTATCTGACTCGGGGGGGGGTCGCTACCCCCCCCGCTACCCCCCCCCCCTCCCGGCGGGGGAGGAATGAAAGGGAAGGGGCTTCCCTTCGACTCAATTACGAGGTTGCTCAAGGTCGGCTTGGCTGGAGCCCAGGGGAAGAGGAGTCCCAGGGGGGGGCGTCGTATCTGACCCGGGGGGGGGGTCGCTACCCCCCCCCCTCCCGGCGGGGGAGGGATCAAAGGGAAGGGGCTTCCCTTCGACTCAATTACGAGGTTGCTCAAGGTCGGCTTGGCTGGAGCCCAGGGAAGAGGAGTCCCAGGGGGGGGCGTCGTATCTACCCGTACCCCCCCCCCCCCCCGGCGGGGGAGGGATCAAAGGGAAGGGGGTTCGAGGTTGCTCAAGGTCGGCTTGGCTGGAGCCAGGGGAAGAGGAGGGGGGGGCGTCGTGAGGGTCGCAGGGGGGGGCGTCGTATCTGACCCGGGGGGGGGGTCGCTACCCCCCCCCCCCCTCCCGGCGGGGGAGGGATCAAAGGGAAGGGGCTTCCCTTCGACTCAATTACGAGGTTGCTCAAGGTCGGCTTGGCTGGAGCCCAGGGGAAGAGGAGTCCCAGGGGGGGGCGTCGTATCTGACCCGGGGGGGGGGGTCGCTACCCCCCCCCCCTCCCGGCGGGGGAGGGATCAAAGGGAAGGGGCTTCCCTTCGACTCAATTACGAGGTTGCTCAAGGTCGGCTTGGCTGGAGCCCAGGGGAAGAGGAGTCCCAGGGGGGGGCGTCGTATCTGACCCGGGGGGGGGGTCGCTACCCCCCCCCCCCACCCGGCGGGGGAGGGATCAAAGGGAAGGGGCTTCCCTTCGACTCAATTACGAGGTTGCTCAAGGTCGGCTTGGCTGGAGCCCAGGGGAAGAGGAGTCCCAGGGGGGGGCGTCGTATCTGACCCGGGGGGGGGGTCGCTACCCCCCCCCCCTCCCGGCGGGGGAGGGATCAAAGGGAAGGGGCTTCCCTTCGACTCAATTACGAGGTTGCTCAAGGTCGGCTTGGCTGGAGCCCAGGGGAAGAGGAGTCCCAGGGGGGGGCGTCGTATCTGACCCGGGGGGGGGGTCGCTACCCCCCCCCCCTCCCGGCGGGGGAGGGATCAAAGGGAAGGGGCTTCCCTTCGACTCAATTACGAGGTTGCTCAAGGTCGGCTTGGCTGGAGCCCAGGGGAAGACGTCTCCCAGGGAAAGGGAAGGACAGAGACGACGAGTACAAAGAATGACGGAGATGACGGCTCGAACGGAAAAGCCCCTCACACACGCCGACAGGGTAGGCGGATTTTCTCCAGGCCGATGGCGCCGATGCATCGCCGACGTCGCCAATGCATCACCGACGGATCGGCGACGCTGCGCGATCCTCCGACTCCATCTGCTCGGAGTCCAATTGGGAGGCCTCTACGTAGGGGAGTCCCAGAAGCAGGCTGACCGCGCCCGGCTCTCCGTCTTCTGCGTGCGCGAGCCTGCGCGCGAGGGGTGACCTCTTGCTTGGACGACGTCAAGATCGAGCGAATCGCACAGTCGGGGGTTGGAGCCGTCCGGGTCTGAGGTGGTCCAGTAAGTAGTCCTCATCCTCCCTTCCGCCTTCTCTCCTCCTCCTCCTCCTCCTCCTCCTCCTCCTCCTCCTCCGCCTCCTCCTCCTCCTCCTCCTCCGCCTCCTCCTGCTGCCCCTCCCCCTCCTCCTCCTCCTCCTCCTCCTCCTCCTCCTCCTCCTCCTCCTCCTGCTGCCCCTCCCCCTCCTCCTCCTCCCCCGCCTCCTCCTCCCCCGCCTCCTCCTCCGCCTCTTCCGCCTGCTTCCGCCTGCTTCCGGCCAGCAGGAAGAGTGGGCAGCTTCGAGGTCCTGGGCTCGGGAAGGTTTCTGCCCTTTTCGGCCCTGGAGTGCCGTCCTCGGGCCCCGGGACCGTCGGGAACACATCGGGGGTGTGAATGAAAATCCACCCGATGGAACCCGGGGGGGGGTCCAGGGGCCCATTTTGAACGCACGCATCACCGTACATGGTGCTCTCCTGGCCCCTTCTTCTTCTTCTTCTTCCTCCTCCTCCTCCTCCTCCTCCTCCTTCTCCTCCTCCTCTTCTACCTCTTGTGCTTCATCCAGCTGCTCGCGGCATTTTCCTTGATCCCGCGTCGAGCTTGCTAGACGCATGCTTTTGCCCACGCGCCTACTGGCTTATGGCTTGTTCGTTCGTTCGGCCTCGTCCCCCTCCTGCCCGACGTTCTGGAGTCCCAGGCAGCTCAGACCCCCCGGCCGGGTCCCAAGGCCGGGGGAGCCCGAGCCCTCGCTAACTGTGGCAGGAGCTCGTCGTGAGCGAGGTGCGGGCACGCCAGTGGCTCCTGGTATCGCAGGCCTGGAGGTTGACACCAACACCAAGATCGGCGGTGTGCCTCCATCCAGGGAAGACGATCCCGATCTCGGTGATGGTAGTAATATTCTGGCTTCCAAGGTGGCCGAAATATTACCACCAACACCGAACTCGAGGATCAACTTCCCCTTTCTGTGGGGGCAACCTCCTGTGTTAGTGTTGGTGCCCATTTCCAGGCCTCCAATGGTACTTTCCAGAAGGGGTCTCGGCGTCGGCGTCGTCGTCGGTGGCGTCCGAAGCTCCGTTCTGGAGGTCTTGCCATGAGGTCCGGGCGTCGGCTTCTGTTTGCACTGGGCGGCTTCGCCCGCCTTCGGGCCCCCCGGGCGATCACGGATCCATGCGGCCCGGAACCGCGGCGAGGTCGGCTGATGGGGCCCGTGGGGCTCTGGACGTGGTTTTCCGCGATGCTGCAGCTCCTTCGCCATGTCGGATCTCAGTGATCGAACCCCCGTCCGTGCAAGGCCTGGTCGCCTCGAGCTGGCGCGCAGGCGGCCGAACGCCAATGCCCTGCACAGCGTGGAGGAGGAGGAGGAGGAGGAGGAGGAGGAGGAGGAGGACGAGGAGGAGGAGGAGGAGGAGGAGGAGGAGCGCGATGTGGAGGAGGAGGAGGAGGAGGAGGAGGAGGAGGAGGAGAGGAGGAGGAGCGCGAGGTGGAGGAGGAGGAGGAGGAGGAGGAGGAGGAGGAGGAGGAGGAGGAGGAGAAGGTTTTAGGACCCGCCGTGCAGGTGGTGGGCCTCGGCCCTCCAGAGACGCCCGCCGTGGACGCGTGGTTGGGCGCCGAGAGCGCCGCCCACACGATGGCGGACCACGTCGCGGAGGGCATCCAGGAGGACGTGGCGGGAGAGGGGGGGAGGAGTACGACGAGACGGAGGAGGAGGAGTGAGGAGGAGCAGGAGGAGGAGGAGGAGGAGCAGGAACAGGAGGAGGAGGAGGAGGAGGAGGAGGAGCAGGAGCAGGAGCAGGAGAAGGAGGAGGAGGAGGAGGAGGAGGAGGAGGAGGAGGGGGGAGGAAAAGATAGGGAGGAGGGGGAGAATGGGGAGGAGGAGTGGCAGGAATGGCAGGAATGGCGGAATGGCAGGAAGGTCAAGCCGACAATTTAGCGATAACTCTTTGGTACATGTTCTGGCTTCGCCGTTATAATCATGTCATTAGATTGTCCTTCTTCCATGTTTCTTAATCCTCATGCTCACCATACCCTGCGCATTCTCCCCGTCCTCCTCAGCTCTTTTCGCGGAGGCTCCTCCTTTGAGAGCCTCTGGGGGCCTCACAAAAGTTGTGCAGGCTTTCTTAAGGCCTTCTGGAGGCCTCCTGGGCGTGTTCTGGGGGCCTCTGGGGGCTTCCTCGGGCCACCCTGCCTCCAATCGCGGCCTTCCTGAACGACCGGGTCACGATTTGGAATACTTCGGAGGGTGTCTTGGGGCCATCTTGGGCCGCCATGGGGCTCTCTTAGGGCCATCTTGGACCCATGTTGTGCCGTTTTGGGGCTCTCTTGGGCTGCCTGGAAGCCCTTTCGGATGGTTGTGGAGCGATTTGGGAGCCTCGCTTCGGACGCCCAGAAGACCGCCGTCTTGGAGCGTCGGGAAGCCGAAAAGAAGAGAACCCCAAGATTCACCAAAAACACTTAGAAAATCCATGATGTTTGCCTCTTGGGGCCTTCTTGGGGGTGCTCTTGGAGGCCTCTTGGGACGTTTTTTAGCGATCTTTGGGAGGATGACGGCTTCTTGGGGGTCGTCGTGGACCGTGTTGGGGCTCTCTGGGGTCGTTCAGGAGCGCGCCAGAACACTTGGAACCCGTCTGGGGCCGTCTTCGGGCTCTCGTGATGTTCTCCCAGGTCGTCTGAAGGGTTGCCCGGAGGCCCGGGGAGGGCCAAATTCGTTAGGGGGGGCGGGTGGGCTTTTCCTGGTGTCCCCGACCCTATAAAAGTATATGATTGGGAATACCTATACGACCACCCTTCGGGTGAGAAGGAGGTTGGGGGGTGGGGGGAACGAACCAGCTGCTGGCAAATGCGATGGGTGTGATGATGACGATGGTGGTGACGCGCCCTTGAATTAGCTACGACGCGTGATGACGATGTTGTGCTGCGGTGTAATTTCACTATCGTCCCCACTTTCGATCTCATTCGATCGAGCCCACTATCGACCTCACAGGATCGATCACACTCGGTCGATCTCACTATAGATTTCATTATCGATCTCACTGTAGATCTCATTCTAGATCTCGCAATCGATGCCACTATCGATGCCACTATCGATCTCATTATCTATCGATTCCTCCATCGATTTCACTCTCGATCGCACGATCGATTTCAAAATCAATGTCGAAAGCAATACCACTGTCGATCTCACTGTTGATCCCGTACATGGAAACTACAATCGAACCACATTACCAATCGATCGTCATCATCACCGTTACCATCGTTGCCAATCCTCGCGATTGCCTGTGCGTCTGGGCGCGCACGTTTGTGTGCATACCCTACCAGACAGCAGACGGACGACAGCGGACGGGCGCGCGTTCCAGCCGCGAGCTCTCTTGGAGGCTTGTGCGTTGCCAGGGCTCGGACATGCCCAGCGATGCTTGGAAGCTGGTGGGGATGAGGACGACGACGACGACGACGACGACGACGACGACGACGGCGACGACGGCGGCGAGGACGACGACCACGACGGCGGCGGCGGTGGCGGCGGCGACGACGACCGACGACCGACGAACGACGACCGACGACGACGACGGCGGCGGCGACGCCGGTGACGATCACGACGGCGATCGCAGACGCACGACGGCCGACGACGACGACGACGGCGACGGCGACAACGACGAAGACGACGGTGGTGGCGGCGGCGACGACGATCGACGATGTTCACACCCGACAGGCGAAGGTTGTTAAATTTTGAGAACAACGTGGAGCAGCATCACTCGGGACATTTCGGCCCTGGCGGCCGCCACATGCAGGGCCAGCGGGGCAGGGGTCTCGGGGACCACTTGGAGTAGTTTGACCCTGGCCGCTGCGGTGCGCAGGGCTTGCGAGTGAGCACTCCTATGGTCCCCGCCCCTCTGCCGAACTGATTTTCCCTCCCCACTCCATGGCAATCCTCAGCACTCCACCCCATTCCTCCGCACTCCGTCGCACTCCTCGGGGCTTCTCCCCATTCCTCTGGACTCCTCCCTCCGTCTTACTCGTCGGCGCTCATCCCCAATCCTTGGGACTCTTCCTCGTTCCATCGCACGCAGCACACTACCCCATTCCTCCCCACTCCTCGGGACTCCTCCCCACTCCTCCGGGACCCCCCCACTCCATCGCACTCCTCGGCACTCATCCCGACTCCTCCCCACTCCATCGCACTTCTCAGCACTCCTCCCAATTCCTCCAGACTCCTCCCTCCATCTCACTCCTCGGCAATCCTTCCCAAACCTCCAGACTCCTCCTCATTCCATCGCACTCCTCCGCGCTCTTCCCCACTCCTCCGCATTCCATCGCACTCCTCCCCACTCCTCCGGACTCCTCCCTGCGTATCACTCTTGTATTCCTCCCCACTCCTCGGGGCTCTTCCCTACTGCATCGCACTCAGAACTCCAATCGTTCCTCCCCAGACCTCGGCACTTCTCCCCATTCCTCTGGACTCCTCCCCACTCCATCGCTATCCAGACTCCTCCCGACTCCATCGCACTTCTCGGCACTCCTCCCTTCTCCTCCGGACTCCTCCCTGCATCTCATTCCTCGGCACTCCTCTGGACTCCTCCCCACTCCTTTGGATTCATTCTCACTCCCCATTCCTCCCCACTCCATCGAAATCCTCCGAAGTCCTCTCTACTGAGCTCTATCGCAGCCCTCGGCGCTCCTCCCCATTCCTCGGGACTCCCCCCTACTCCGTCACACTTGTCGGCACTCCTCCCCGCTCCTATGGGGCTCCACCCTGACCCTCCCTCCATCGCACTCCTCCGTACGCCTCCCCGTTCCTCGGGACTCCTCCCCACTCATTCGCACTCCTCGGCGCTCCTCCCTAACCCCCTGGGCCCCTCCCTGTTTCCTCCCCCCCTCTTCCAGATTGGCTGACGCAGCAGAGCAGGCAGAAAGAGAGCCCATCCAGCGACCTTGCATTGAGGGTGCCCCCCCCGCCAGATCCCCCCTCTTTCATATTGGCGTTGAGCAGACCCACAAAGGGCGGTGCGCCGCAGCACCACTGAAAAGGGGGGGGCTGAAGGGGTCTCTGCCGGTGGGCTCCGCGGTGTCCACTCCGACTCCTTGCAATGCTCAGCGCGGCGACGGGGCGAGACCCGGTCACTATCCATTGGCCGTGCCAATCCACATTGAGGAGGGGAGTACAGTCAACGCGCCTAGTAAGGACGCGCGCCTTCATCTAGGATACCCTTGCGCCCTTGCCTCTGTGGCCCGTCCTTTGCCGTTTTCACTGGTCGCCGCCGCCCAAAAAAATCCCAGCTTCGGCCTCCAAGGGTCTTGCGTCCTTACCACGCGTCCTTAATATACGTTTTGACTGTAAGAGGGGGGTCTCAGGTTTCCAACTCCCACCCTGTATACCGTGAGGCGGTCCACGAGGCAGCTCACGAGTCAGCCAACAAGGCGGCAGACGAGGCGGCCAACGAGGCACTCCACGAGGCAGCCAACGAGGCAGCCGACGAAGCAGCCAACGAGGCAGCCAACAAGGCGGCCGACCAGACAAACGACGATTCAGCCAACAGGGCAGCCGACAAGGCAGCCATCCAGCCAACCAGGCAACCGACGAGGCAGCCACCAAGGCAACGAAGCAGGCAACCATCGAGCCGCATCACCAGGTAACCAACGAGGCAGCCGATCAGGCAGCCAACGAGGCAGCCGACAAGGCAGCCAACCAGGCATCAGACAATGCAGCCGCTGAGGCATCCAACCACCAGGGGGCTCGCCGACGAGGTAGGCAGAATGGGGCGTCCTAGGTTGGATCCCCCTTGCGCGCCCGCGCCCTTGCATCTGTCGACCTGTGGCATGGAGCAGCAGGGCGGCAGAGAATTGCACAGGATATCCGCACTTTGGATCTCACATCCTGTGTGCTACGAGCTGCAAACAAACCTAGCTCGTGCACTGGTTCGATGTCACATTCTATCTACCGTCTCGCTATCCATCCCATTCTAGCGATCCCACTATCGACCTCACGATCGACTTCACTATCGATACCACGGCGGGACACCCCCAGCCACGTCCCGCCCACCGCCGACGGAATACCGACGGGACACCAACGGGACACCACAGACAGGACATCACGGCGGGACACCCCGTGCCACCGCCCGCCCACCGGGGGAGGAGGGGCGGTCCATTGCATCCGAATCGCCCTAGCGACGGCCGGTTCATTCCTCTCGCGCGCCCACACAGCTTCGCCTCGCCCGCACGCACGACACGAACACGAAACCGAAAACGATGTTCTTGTTGGGGGTTCTCCGTTCCACTACGATCTTACCCCCCCCAACCTCCGATGTCCAATATTGCATTGGCGCTTCGCGCCACGCACCTTGGTTCGTCAAGTTTTCCACCGGTAGAGAGGTGGCTGAGACAGAGAAAGGGAGATAGCGAGAGAGAGAGAGAGTTAGAACGAGAGACAGATGGATAACAACATCATGTTGTAATTATAATGCCCGTTTTCATGATCCTACATTTCTTCTTGCTGATCCCTTCGTTCCTCTTCCTTTTTCCTCTTCCTCGTTCTCGCCCATCCCTGTGATCTCTTCCCTTGGCGGAGGCTCTCCTCCTTGGGAGGTTTCCAAAGGGTCTTTGGAAGGCTTCTTGGGGGCTTTGGAGGCCTCCTGGGAGCTCTTCAAGAGCCTCTGGGGGCTTCTTGGGGCCATCTTGCCGGCAACCGCGGTTTCCCTCACGACTGGATCCCGACGTGGAGTGCTCTGGGGTACGTTTTGGGGTCATGTTGGACCGTCCTGGGGCCCCGTTGGATCTTGGGGGTTTTCTGGGCCGTCTTGAAGCTTCTTTGGCCCGTGTTGGGGCGATTCGGGGGGCCTCTTCGATGGTCCGGGCCGCTTGGAAGACCGAAGGAGCGAATGTCGTAGAATTTTGCAACAAGCGTTGACGATGCCAATCTTCTTGCTGTTTGGGGGCCTCTTGGTGGTCTTCGTCTGGGTCGTCTTGGGGTGCCTCGGGGATTTCTGACGCCACTGTGGGCTCCCGTGTGGCTGTTTGGGTGCCCTCCCGACCGCTTTGGGCCTGTTTTCGAATCTCGGCAGGGACGTCCAGGAGGCCAAGAAATCTGAGGAGACGCTCTCCAGAGACGTTCGTGAGGACCATGAAGGCCCAAATGAGTGTTTGGGGTCACCTGTCTGGGGTCCCACGCCTTGTAAAACTTATACATAGAGGTATAAAGATCCCGTCACGTGGCATCAGCTACTGCCTTCCCACTTCCCTCTCGGGCGGCCCGCCCCGAGGACTCGGAAGTCGACTGGGCAATGAGCAAGTTCGACTTGGCCTTCCAGTCGAGCCGTCGAGGCAAGCAGATCAGTCTGCGAAGCTCTTGGCCCCTCAGATATCTTGCTTAGGCGTGACGACCGTATTCTTTCGATGATCGACGTTACCGAGGATGGTTGCATCTTTTCCCACTTGGACCCAGAGCAAAGGGGTGGGGCGATGATGCTTTGCCAGGTTGTCTGGCCGTCTCCGCTGCAGAACAGCAAGCATTTCAAACCACACCTGTATGCCTCTGTGGGCCGATGCGTGTGTGTATGTGTGTGCGTTTGTGTGTGATTTCCATTCGGCTACCCTCCTTCGCCACTACTTCGGCAGTGTGGGTGCTCAGCTTTGGGGTCCCTGAGAGCTTCGGACTCTCAGAATCACGGCGACCAAGAGCGGCTTACAGTCGGTAAAGGGCCGGCGGGAACGACGGGGCCCGCGACCTGGCGGAGGGTTTCGTCCGCAGGGGAAGCTCTCCTCCCAGCAAGCCTCGTGTGCCGGGGAGCCTGGGCAGATTACCGGGACACGATGAGAGGTGGGCGCGTCGTGGTAGTGTCGGGGGCGGAAAAGAGGGGGGTGATGGCTAGGGGGGGGTGGATATCATGGCGGAGGCCATGATATTTCCCC